TTTCAGATACTGGGGGTTACTACCAACAAAATAAAAGATTGTAAATTTATCATTATAATATTGTTATAAAATTTTCAAATGTGTGAAATTCCATTAATTGGTTATTTTAATTTAATAAAACATATTAACTTGCTAATCTAAAATATTAAGACATTTGTGAGAAAGTTCAATTATTATGATCATTTGTATGGGCTTAAAATATCTTGAGGAGATGATATGGAACACTTCAACAACCACTATAGATGAAGGGTTTTTATAACTTTTTCTTAAGAATATAGATTAAAAGTATAATTGTTACACTTTTTTATATTTATTAGTATTAAAAAAAATAAAAATTGAACTCTATGTAGGTAATTGTCTAATTAAAATAATTTGTATGGCACAAATAATAAAATTAATAATATAAATACTTAGATTGCTTAATTTGGGCCATATGTCAAAAAAGTCTATCAATTTTTCTTCTTTAATGTTGAGAAAAAGGAAGATTAAAATTAATATAGTGTTTTTTAATTTTCTTAATATTCATTCTTTTTAATGTGGGTACATACAACTTTTTGAAAAAATGTTCTTGTCAATTACTAAACATAATCTCTTACCAAACTATAATTACTTAATTAATTTTTTTGACTAAAAGTCATAATAAAATTTAAGAGTTAATAAAAAATAAAAAAAAAAATTCCAACTTTGACATGAAAAATAAAAGAATAAATGTGCAATGCATAAATAAAAAAATAATAATCTATAAAAATATAATTTCTCACAAATTTCTTTATTTTAGCGTGAATGACTTTGGTGTTTTTATTCTACCTATCGCACAAACCGCCCTATAAGAACAAGTCATCAACTTTGACTGGGCATGAATTTCCAAGTCTTATTATACATGTGACTATTTGCGTAGGCATCGCATGAGCAGTGCATTCAATGCTATCAGGGCCGTTAATATCTCATTATTGAGCAGACAAGGACTTCCCTGTATGGGTTGTTTTCTTTGGTTTGAACAGTGAGATGCTTTTTTGAACTAATATAGTTTCATCTCAAGATTAATTCTTTGGCTTTTTTGGGAGTCATGCCAACCATCAAAACCAAATGCTGTATTATCTATCAATTAGATAGCTAAATGAGGTTAGAACTTGAAGAAGTGGGTCCTTGAAATGAAGTTTCCAGGTTGTTTCCAAAGGAAGGCGTGAGCTGAAGAGCAACCCTTCAAATCTTCAATAGTCTTTTTTTTTTCAAATTACTTACTCTAATAAGACAACAAGAGGTTCTAATTGTCAAACCGTTAAAAAATCAAGTTGAAAAATATGAATATGAGATGCCCTGATTTGTCCGCAGGTTGCATTTAGATAACATGATACTGCCTTTTACTACAAACAAACTCCATGACAAAGGAAATGATGGGGGTAAGCACTGGCTGGTACTATACTATAATCTTCCAGTAAACAAATTAATATAGACTTAGACTTTTAGTGGTTTTGTAAAGAAATTACGCTTTGAAAATGACTTGAACAGCACAGCTAAGTCTTTGTTTGCTGGCATTGATATTGATTCGATATATTATCTTAATGTAAGTATTAATAAGTTGAGATATATTATTAGAATTATATTCGGATTTAGAATTTAATTATTGGTCATTACATATTAAAAAAAAATAACGTTGTTGATGATGCCCTGTCTCATTGACAGAAGGATAAACAGAGTTTATGATAGATCTTTACTTTTCAGAAAAAAAAAAGGGATAAATGAAGTTTATGAGCAGTGTTGTCAAAATCGCGTTTTATATCGTAAAATCTTAAGATTTTACGATGTTAGGTATGGATGCCGAGTAAAATCGACTTTAAAATCGGATTTTCATAAATTCGGGTGATAAAAACGTAAAAGCGCGATTTTTTCGTAAAATCGTTTGAAATCTCGATTTCACTTTCACAAAAATTGAAAAAGAGATTTCCAGAAATTTGCCGCAGGGGAGGGAAAGATTTTGGACTGCTACAGTGCCGGCGTGCCGCTGTTCACTGCCACTGCTCACATCTCACGCACTGGCGGGATGGAAATCTATTTGGTGACCCCAATCATGTGGAGCCAACCTTAAATAGTAGGATTTGGTTGCTGCTGCTCACTGCTCAAGCAAAGAAGGATAAAATTTGTTG